CGCTCCTACACGCGCCTGGGCGAAGGCGTCGCAGCGTCGGTCATAGCGGAAAGCCACCAGCGTCCAGGACGGGAGGGGGAGGTTGCGGGAGGGACAGGCAGCAGGGCATGGGATGAGAAGGAGAGGGCAGCGGGGACGCAGGGGAGCAGGGAGGGAGAAGCGTGTGAGAAGCATGGGAGGGGAGCAGGGAAGCAGGAAAGCAGGGAGCAGGGAAGCAGGAAAGCAGGGAGCAGGGAGAAGAGGAAGGGGAGCAGGGAAGCAGGAAAGCAGGGGAGGGGGGATGGGAGCAGCAAGAGAAGCAGGCTCGAGGGAGGGGGCCAGGAGGAGGGGAGTGCGCCCATCTCGGGGGGCGGCAGGACCGGCAAGTCCCTGCGTGGCCGACGGTGCCCGTGAGTGCTGCCGTCGCTGCACCTCGGCTGTGCGATATTATTTTTTTTATCCATTCATTCTTTCGATTCTTCATTCCGAGGCGTTTCTGGAGCCCGAATAATAAGCCCAGGGGGTTCGCATCGATAATATACTGCATCATGCTGGTAGGATCATCTTGGCAGCTCGGGCGCAGTCTGCTGTGCGATAGTCTGAGGCTCGTACAGTCAAAACTGAGAGCAAACATGCACGATAAGGATAAAAAGGGCCTCGGAAGGCCACGCCGACAGTTTTGGAGCGGGGCTCGGCCAATCGCAAGTGGCGAGTCATGGGCCGAAGGGAAAGGATACAAGGGAAACCTTGGAAGTCGTTCATCCTTACTGTCAGTGTTGACTGGATCCTGAGGCTCGTACTCGGTCACAGAGTGGTTGGGGTGGGCGCTGGGCTAAGCCTGGCCTGGGCGCGCCATGAATGAATCCGTTCACATCTGGCTGCCGCGTGTGACTTGTGAACCGCTGGCTGGTGACAAAGACCGAGGATACTGTGCGCGCGGGTGTAATGAGACCGGCGATTGCTGCCTCCTCCCTCCTCCTCCGTCTCCTCCCTTCCCTTGACCTCTCTTTGTCCAGCACCGCGGTCTGGAGCATCTCTTCGAGGCTCGTCCCACACACGCGCAGTCTGCAAGCTTGCTGAACTCCCCCCCGGGTTGTGTAGGAGGAGGCTCCACAGCGGTCAGGAGCCGCAGCGTTGCGCAGGAGGGGGAGGAGGGAGGAGGGAGGACGAAAAGAACAAAATAAAGTAGAGGAGGAGAAAATTCTCTCACCTTTCCGGGCTTCCGTCAGCTCAAGACGACCCAAGAAACCTGCCAATAGGCCCCAAAGAGGGTCCCAAGATGGCCCACGAGGCCCCACTAGGGCCCAAGAAACATCCAAGACTGCCCGAAAGCGTCTCAAGAGTCTTCCGTGGGACCCAAGACGGCCTTGGAAGGCCTTTCAACATGATCACCATCACCATCACCATCACCACCACCACCACCACCACCGTCATCATCATCATCATCATCATCATCATCATCATCATCATCAGCAGCAGCAGCAGCAGCAGCAGCATCACCATCAGCATCATCATCATCCTCATCATCATAATCACCATCATCATCATCATCATCATCATCACCACCAGCATCATCATCATCATCATCATCATCGGCATCATCACCAACATCATCATCATCATCAGGATCAGCATCAGCAGCATCAGGATCATCATCAGCATTTTCATCATCGATTCGTTATCATCATCATCATCATCATCATCATCATCATCATCATCATCATCATCATCATCACCGCCATCATCATCACCACCATCATCATCATCATCAGCAGCAGCATCATCACCATCACCATCACCACCACCACCATCATCATCATCATCATCAGCAGCAGCATCAGCACCAGTGTCAGCATCAGCTGATCAGACGCATTAGCATCATTATCGTCATAATCATCATCGTCGTCGTCATCATCAGCAGCAGCAACATCATCACCACCACCATAATCGCCACCAGCATCATCATCATCATCATCATCATCATCATCATCATCATCACCAGCATCATCAGCATCATTATCATAGTCGTCAGTGTCATCGTCAGTATCGCCACCACCACCATCTTCATCAGCATCGGCATCATCATTATCATCAACATCATCATCATCATCTTCAGCATCACCATCATCATCACCATCACCATCATCATCATCATCATCATCATCATCATCATTATCAACATCAGCATCACGGATCCCCAAATACTGGAGACACGAACGGTCACACGTGACGGCCTCCCGTGCCCCCTCGAAGAAACGTCACCCAGAATGCTGGGTTGGCACGGTGGCAGGATTTCCCGCAGGCTGCTGGGTAAGATGCAAGGGAGGAGAAAGCAGAGTGAACCGACTACATTAAGCGTGTCCACCCGTCTGTCAGAGCGCTAACGCGATTCTCCCACGGGACATGAGCAACAACTTGACGTGCGGCGGGAAGAACTTCTCAGGCTCGCGCATCATGTGCAAGAAGCCGGGGAACATGCCTGGCTCTGTTAGAAGGGGTTGGAACCAGCGGAGGGCGAGGAGGATGATAAGCAACATGTGGAGGCGGCAATCAATACGAAAGAGCATCAGTGTCGGCAGTATTCCCTGACTGCCACACTCATGATAGATCCCATTGTCTTGCAACTACTCCAAGGTGATGTCGCTGTTGAAGGCCATTGGGGCATGATTGCAGCACATCGAAGTTTCTCCACTTCCTCATCCCTAGCTAGTGGGCCGAACAGGTGGGAGAGGGGGATGACAACGACGAGGGAGAGGTGTATCAGATCAGACAGCTGCTGAGGCAATAGTCTTGACGACTCCCACGAATAGACCTTCCATCGAACGGCTTCATCGAAGCTTGTCCCCTGCAGTCTGCTTTGAAATCTGTTCGCACGTAGGCGCCGTGTTCCATTCATCCTTCCCTGAAGTCGTCCTTCGATCCATAGCTTTGACTGTTATAAACAGTTTGCGACGCCATCACTATTGCACTGCGGCATTTCAACCAGCAAGGCCCGCTCGTGATCTAAGCTGCTGCTGGGGCTCTCTTCTCCTAGCGGTGGTCCACTCGCGGAATGGTTCCGGGTATTTAGTGAATTGGCATTTGCGTGCAAATGTACTTCGCACGATCGATCCTCGTCGCGCCCAGAATAGTTGTCCAACGCGTTTGTCTGCGTATCTTTGCTGTTATTTGTCCATTTCCGCTGATGGTCATTCCCACGACGCAAGAGCACACTTACTTATTAGTGTGAGGTCTGTGCCTGCTGGTCCGTGCAATGCTTTGCTTGATGCTACCCCCCAAGAGCCCGCGTTGCGAATGATCCACTTTTATGTCAAACATGTTGCTTGAGGAATAAGATACCTTACCGAGACAAATCCCAATGCGCGTGCAAATGCAGCTCAACAGAGACAACAAACCAATTGGTGCTCGGAAATATGCTGCGGGGCCCTCTCCCCTCCTGGCCTCGGGGGGTGTCTCCGTGACCCTGTAAAGTCGGGTGTAAGCTTTTGCGAGTGAGTCCGGTCGGAAGACAAGTCATCAGCCCCTCGCGCCGACGAGGAGGAGGGGGAGAAGGAGGAGGAGGGAGAGGAGGAGGAGGAGACGCGGGAGTGAGAGGGGGAGGAGGCGGAGGAGGACAAGGGGAAGGAGGAGGACAAGTGTAAACCTAAGACGCATCAGCGATGCTGCGAGAATCAATATCTCCAATCTCCCTCTCCACAAGTACATACAAGAAAATGTGTTCATCTTGGGATGGGCCTCGTTGGAAAACAACCGTCTGAGAATCCTCAATCGTGCCAAAACACCGTTCGTGGGATTTCAACGCAGCGAATCAACGTGACTGATGCGCCCTGAGAAACCCTAAATCGTGCCAGAAAACCATTGCTGGGAATTCACTCCCGCGAAGCAGCGTGATTGCTGCGTCCTGACAAATCCTGACTCGAGCCAGGTCACCATTCCTTGGGCCTCAAACCTGCGAAAGCCTCAAGCTGCTGCAAACTTGCAAGACGAATGCACGTACCGATAAAGCGAGAGTCACAGTCGAAGAGGACCCACTATGCATCCTAAAATGTGTTGCAAACTCTTTACATGAATGCGCGCGGCTCTACAGCACGAGTCACATGATGAAAAGGGCCCGCCGTCCATCCTTGAAACTGATGCTCACCTTTGCTACGGATGTACGAGGCGCTCAGGCGAGAGCCACTTCTTGAAAAGGAGCCGCCCTGCATCCCTGAAGCTGCTCCAATCTTTTCAGACGAATCTGCGTGGCGCTAAAGCGAGAGCCACATTTTGAAAAGGAGCCGCCCTCCATCTTTGAGTCTCTTGCAAATATGTGAAACGGATGTGCGTGACGTTGAGGCGAGAACCACCTTTTGAAAAGGACTTGCCCTCCATCCTTGATCAGACAGGGTGAGGAGGTCTCAGGCGAAACGCCCGGCCCGCCCCACCGACACGTCTGGGAGTGCGGCAGGGAGGAGTTATGGATATGGAGCAGGCATGGAGGAGGAGGAGGAGGAGGAGGAGGAGGAGGAGGAGGAGGAGGAGGAGGAGGAGGAGGAGGAGGAGGAGGAGGAGGAGGAGGAGGAGGGAGGAGGGTGGAGGGAGGAGGGAGGAGGGAGGAGGGAGGAGGGAGGAGGGAGGAGGAGGAGGGGAGAGGAGGAGGAGGAGGAGGAGGATGAGGAGGAGGCGGAGGAGGAGGAGACAGGAGGAGAAGGCGGAGCCCGTATCAACCGCATGGGTGCACGAGTGCTCAAACCCGGCGCTGCAGCCAGGGCCCTAAGAAAAAAAAAAAGGTGGCCCCCACAACAGCAACAAACAGATAACCAGCACAGAGCACGAAGGCACCACCACCACGAACAGCCAAACCCACAAGATGGTTAATTCAGCAACACGGTGGCCCACCACCAAACCACCAGCCCACACCACCACCATCCACACAGAACCGCCACAGGCCACACCGAACCCAGGGGAGCCTGGCGGCTGGCGCGCGCTGCTGCCCACCGTGTGCGGGCTCCTCCGCTTTGCGTGGCCGTGCGGCCGCCACCCTCAAGCAGCACTCCAGGAAGAGGAGGAGGAGGAGGAGGAGGAGGTGGAGGAGGAGGAGGAGGTGGAGGAGAAGGAGCAGGAGGAGGAGGAGGAGGAGAAGGAGACGGAAGGCCCTGCGCAACGCTCTTTTTCTGTGGCTGCCCCTCCAGCTTCGCGAAAAAAGCTCCCCGCTCGGCTCGGTTGGCCGCGTGGAGTCCGCGGGCCCCCCTGTCCGAGGGCCGGCGCGCGAGGCGGAGGGCAGGACAGACGGGCGGACGCGGGGGCGGGAGGGGGGGAGAGGGCAGAGGGTGCACCAGCATCGAGAGGGATCTTGGCGGACTGAAGGGGCCCTGGGACACACAAATAAATACGCACAAATAAAATGATTCCCCATATTTCCCCATATTTTCTGGGTTGTTGTCTTCCCGCCCAATTGCCATATTTCCCAATATTTTCTGGGGGACTGGCTGACGCGTCTTAGACCATTCGTCTTGCACCGTGGAGCGCGTCGCAGGTGGACCGCAGCGTGCAGGTCTCACTGCGCCCGTGGAGCGGAGCGGGCGGACTCCAGCCGCCGACCATCGAATATTATACAGGGCAGTTTCTAATGCATAGGATCTTTAAACTATAAGATGTTTAATACATGATTTATCTATGAATGCATTTAGGCACGAACTCATCGTTGTTTTGAATACTAAATCCCTGCATGTTCAATCCAGGATCCGCACGCGGAGCATGTGTATGAAAAACGGCACCGTAAATAGAACGACACAAAAGTTCGCCGACCCAGTCGGCGTGTGGGAGACGCAGTCGTCGTCGTCGTCGTCGTCGTCGACACCCCTCTCCAGCGCGCAGTGGCGTGTTTTGGACCACGTGTGGGATTCCGCAGGGACCTCTGGAAGCCTGTGGGGAGCTCTGGATACCTCCAGAGACCTCTGGGAAGGATGGGCGAGGCTGCATTAGCTGAGGCAGCAAGTCGATCAAACAACATTAGTTTCGAGGAGCTGGCTTCAAAATGATCTTCCATAATCAACTGTTTACATCGTTGGGAGGTTGTGCTGCGCAAGTATGGTATTCGAAAGCAGCCTGCTAACCAGCTTTCTCGGCCCAACAACGCAGTCAATACAAACAAAAACCGGTGTCCCCCAAACGATGTCCCCCAAACGAGTACGGATGCGCACGCGCTCGCAAGAGCCGCGTCCAACATTCTCACTCTGTCAGCCTGTGCTGCCTCACTTTCTGGGTTCAAACCGGTCACCGTGCCCCAGGAGAATAGAAGGACCCCTGAGGGCGGTGGTGCAAGGTAGTGCCAAGTGATTCTGGTAGGGCTTCCTGGAGGAGGGGGTAAGGGGGAAGGGGGGAGGGGGGGAGGGGGAGGGGGGAGGAGGAGGAGAGGAGTAGGGAAGGGGAGGAGGAGGAGGAGGGGGTGAGATGAGGAGAGGAGGAAGGAACATGGGCTCCTCCAACTATGAAAGGGGGAGGAAAGGGCAACCGAGGACAGCTCTCACTCACCACAGAGCGCTGCGTGCACGGGCCCCCCTCTCGAGGTCTCCTGGCCGCTCCGACGCCTCCGCGGCGCTCGAGATGGCACCACGCGCTCTCCAGACGGCCCGCGGGAGTCCAGAAGAACTGGATGACCCACAAATTTTCCAATGTACAGTCGGGGCGTTGACCTAAGGAACCTTAAATAAGGAGCGAGGCCCCTTTTTTCCATAAGATCCCCCATCGAAGACCAAAGGACAACCTAAGGCAAGCTGCGAAACACTTAAGGAACACGGAGCCCCTCCCCAACGAAAAGGGTTCCTTGTCCAGCGCCCCGACTGTAGCTCGCTCTTTCTAGGGCCCAAGTCCCGAGTGCCCACTGAGAGCCCCAAGAGGTCCCCTGGACGGCTCAGGACGGCCCAAGACAGCCCCAAGCTGGCCCAGGACGGCCTCGGGAACGGTCCCAAGAGGGCCCCCGAACCGCCGAGAGGGCCCCAAGACGGCCCAAGAGGGCCCCAAGATACCCTAAGAGAGCCCTATGGGACCCGCAAGACTGCCCCATTAGTGCCCGAACCACCCAGATAAACCCCATGAGAGGTCTTCACGACGTCGAGACGAGAGATCTCACATGCGACGGCCTTCTAGGGGGTGATCGAAGGGTCGGCATACAGCAAATACTTCGCTGGTGCGGCGGCGGATTTGCCGTAGATAGCTGGATACTGACATCTACCACGCGGCAGTTCCGAACAGAACCGTCGCCGATCTGACTGTCGAATCCCAGGGCTAGACCTAAACGTTGTTGTTCGTTTTGTTTTAGTTGTGCTTTACCTGTTTTCCTGTACCTCCCTGCCAAGATGAAAAAAAAAAACAAAGCATAGCCGAAGTCCAGCAACGCAGCGTTTAGGTCCAGCCCTGGCGAATCCTGGGAAGCGAATTGCAACGATTTGAACCGCTTAGGAGGGAGGGTGTCGTCGGTCGGGCACGGCATTCGCCCAATTGCTGTGCCGTGCCTCGTTATGAGCGGTTCTCTCCCCGAGAGCCCAGGGGGCTCTCTGGAGGAGGGATGGTAAGAAAAAGGGAGGATGAGGACGGAGGGAAGGAGACGGAGGGAGGAGGAGGAGGAGGAGGAGGAGGAGGAAACGTAGCGTGAAGAGCGTGATGAGTCGTGCTGTTCGATGGCCCCTCGCACGCGGGTGAAAATAGTGAGGGTGACCAGACCTCGCACCAGGCAAGAGAAAGCCGCTCCCGACGAAGCCCAAAGGCCCCACGCCAGGCCACCTGGAAGGAGGCAGAGGAGGAGGAGGAGGAGGAGGAGGAGTATCTGGAGTATCTGCCTGATCGCGTAGCGATGTATTGGAAAGAAAATTCCGCTGCACCTACTGTAGGTGCTTACTCCTCTGAGCTTGCTCAGCTTTACTGAGAACCTTAGGCCAGAGACCTGAATTGATACGTCTAAGATACTCGCGCCCAGTGGCCGAGGGGGGTTGACACATCGTTGCTAGCTTCCCAATCTGCTGGGAGACGTAGCTCCCGCATGTGGAGCAGAACCAAATCCCCAGCCCAGCGTGGAACCTCGGATGATGGGTTAAATGAATCCACCCCCCTGCTACATGAACCTGCTTGCCCAGGGGGGGTCTCATATAAGTGCCATCAACATTTTCCAGATTGAAACACTCTGAATCATACCATTCAACACGGGTGCTAGCTGTGGCTGACCCCTTACATATATTACATTGTCCACCAGTGTCATCTAATTGGTGATGAGACCTGAAAACAGCACACAGGGAGGGGGCGGGAGGGCGGACAGGCTGAGCTTTCACTCTCCTAGGCTGTCGGCTTCCAGCTGGCAACTCACGAATCTGAGCCTTCTCGAACTCTAGGGCCTCTAAGGTGGATCTCAGGAGCCTCATGCGGACGAGGTAGGCGTCATTCTCGATACCCTGAATCTGCTGTCGGAGGTGCTTTTCCACACGGTGGCTGTCCGCTGCAACTGCTGCGAACTCGTCGGCGACAGCGTTGCCATATGCAAAGGACGCATTGGCACGGCCTAGGGCGACGTCCTCGCCCGTAGCATGAGAGTTGGTGAAAAGAACAACGAAATCGCCTGATCTCCTGGCTCGCTCGACGCCCACCTGGTGCCACAGGTCTGCATCTGGTCCGACTGGCGAGCTCGGATGTCCATTATAATAGTTGAGGTAGACACCCTCGCAATCAGTGGTGAAAACGACGTCTAACTCCGAAACCTGCAAGGCGAGGAGAAGGGCTAGCAGCTCGCCTCGGACGACTGTCTCCCTGTCTCCTGGGAGAGGCCCCCACATCGCCGTCTGCAGCTGCATGTCGTTGATCCTGAGGCTGGGGAAGGCAGCGATGCCTATGCCCACGCGCCTGAGGACTGGGGAGGCTGTGTCACCTCCTCCGCTGGCGTCCCCGAAAATGTACATGACTGAGCTGGTGCGATTGGTCTCGAAGCACTGCGGTGAGAACTTCTCGATGCCATGAGCGGTCCAGTCGTATGTGCTGGCTGGCGGTGGGACCTGCGTCCACGCTTGAGGCAACAGGCCCCTTGTCCAGTAGCACTCGAACATGTCCTGCTGGGCTGAGGCTTGCGCAATCATGTGATCCGTGGAGTCGTACACGGGGCACTTCTGGTTGGCAGCACACTCCCAGGTGCGATGGAACGGTGTCTCCTTGGCGGCCTGGCAGCGCAGGCACTTGCCGTCGGTGATGGCGCTGGTCTGCTCCAGCACTCTGGCCTTCGGCCACGTAGCGCCCGCTGCTATGGTGAGCATCATGGTTGAGAGTCGCCGTCCGTGCTTCATCTTACTGAGGTACTGGAGTAGCTTGCGATATGATCGGTTGTCGATCCCTCTCTCCATCCCAGACCCACCGTAGTGCTGGTTCGCACTGGCCCAAAGCTTGGCCTGGGCGCTGCGGTCGATGTCCTGGAGCAGTGTGTCTGGGATGTCCACGTGAGGGTTACCTGTGAGCTGCTGGCGATCGAACTCCCAGGTGTCTTGTCCTCGGCTGTCGACTATGGTCGGCGGGAGGATCCACTCCTGCGGTCCCTTCGGCGTCCAGCCGAGCTCCAGGAGGTACATGATGACGGTGGACTGCGGCCCCTTGATGTGGCGAACCCGCTGTCCGACGGGTAAAGATTGAAAGTGCCTGAGTACTGTATCCCAGGTGTGGCGGATGGCCCTCTCCATAGGCCCCGCCTGGATCCATGTCGCGAGCCACTGCTGGATGGTCTCGCGAGGAAACATGCGTGCTGGGTCGGAGGGGCCTGCCTTGAGGTCCAGCAACGTCGTGAGGCATCGTCCCTGAAGGCGAGGGCCCAACGAGTCTCCAAGCCTCCTCCTGAAGAGTGTCAGCTGTGTGCCGAAAACTCCGTGGATTTGATGTGCATAGCTGCCTCCAGCCTGTGCCCCCTGGAGGGCCAGTCTCCCTGTGACGTGGTAGCGTCGGGAGGCGCGGGCGAGGCGTAGGATCTTCTTGTGCTGCAGGCCGTGCTTGGCGTGGCGCTGCGTCCTGGTACTGC